AGCCACAGACTTGGGAGTAAGGCCATTTTTAACAACCCTGATGATCCACCTACCAAATGGCTACAGCCAAATAAGTGAGCCTCGACAACACTACCAGAAAACGAACACAGGTGAGCCCAGCTCAATGTACAACACAGCATCAGGCACAAATAAAGTTTTTTTTTTTTTAAGACACTATATACTTACAATGATATGGCCATTATTTATTAAGAAAAAAATTATTACCAAATTATATTTGGTGACCCTTAAAAGTTTGACACATGACACAATGAACTTTATGTGAATAGAAAGTTAATTATCTGAGGACAATCTCCAACATACAGCATCAAATTAACAGTACACAGTCCAATTTCATTTTTATCCGAAAGGATGGGAATAAATTAATCCAAACATGTGGATGAATACACACACACATATACCTACCGTATGCAAACAATTTCTGAAAAGATTCATGATAAACTTGTAAAAAATGGTTGCTTCCACAAAAGGAAAATGAGAACTGAACAAAGGTAGAAATAAACCATATCATTTGCACCCTTTTAAGCCTTTTTTTTAATACCTTTATTTTGTTTATTTATTTTTATGTGATGCTGAGGATCGAACCCAGTGCCCCACACGTGCTAGGCAAGTTCTCTACCACTGAGCCACAACCCCAGCACCCCCCCCCCCTTTTTTTTAAAGGTATATAATTATTTATTAACAGAAAAGGCCTACAGACTCACTTCTTCTTGGACACAACCTACGGTGTGGCCATGTGACCAGTTGTGTTAGTTTGCTGGCCTTAGATACAAAAGTCCCAAAATTGGCACAGCCCCCTATGGGTCCTAATCTTCCTCAGTTGCTCCAAGTCCTCCTGGGGCTTACTATTGAGACCATTGGCCAGAACCTGATTGAATTTTCCATTCTTTACAACCTTCTATCTGTTCAAGAACCAGTCTAGGATTTTGTACTGTCGTGGATTCTACATAATGGTGATCACATGTTCAACCTCACCATCAATGAATTCTCCAGCCTCTTGGTGAGGTCAGTGTCTTGTTTTCCTCAACACCCTTAATGACAGTGATGGCAAAGGCTATTTCCTGCCGCCCATCAATGTTTATGTTGCGTACTGGCAAACTGTGCTGGAACTTCTCAGGAATCACTAGAGACATGGTAGCAGCAGGGCGGCAGAGTGTAGGAGGCTGTGGAAGCTTAAATTTTGAAATACAAAAGTATTGCCTAATTTTTAAAAATTTGCTTAACTCTTACATTAATGTACAATCATTTTTTAAGTTTTTTAATTTTTTTTAGTTGTTGATGGATCTTTATTTATTTATATGCGGTACTGAGAATCAACCCAGCACCTCACACATGCCAGGCAAGTGCTCTAACACTGAGCTACAACCCCAGCCCTGTATAGTCAGTCATTTTTATCTCTGAAATATAAAGCTAAAGTATTTCCAAACAGAATACTAATTAGATTCATTTCAAAATAACTGGAAGTAGATGATAGATAGGACGGGATGTTAAATGAAAGTCCAGAAAAAAAAACATGAGTTGACAATTATTGAAGTTGAGAATCACTGTCACCTTTTGTTTGAAATTTTTCATAACAAAAAGTTAAAATATTCATATAATGTTGTAACAATAATGCTCAGAAAGTCAATTCCATACCATGACAAAAAAGTAACAAGCATAAATATAAAATATTCATGAATATTTACAAAACAGGCATTTTTGTTTATGTATGTGTTATTAATAATACCTGAGGGCTGGGGTTGTGGCTCAATGGCAGAGTGCTTGCCTCACACATGTCAAGCACTGAGTTCAATCCTCAGCACCACGTAAAAGTAAATAAACAAAATAAAGATATTGTGTATAACTAAAAAAAAATTTTAAATAATAATAATACTTGAATGCCAGGCTGGGTAGTTTCTAGACATCACCTCATTTGGTGTTCACTACAACCCTGTGAGTTACATGGCATCATCATTTTACAAGGAAAATTAAACACTTGGTATAAATGCCCAAGGTTACAAAGTTAATAAATGAGAGGATTCGAATGTAGCATATATCTTTAAGACATTAAAAATGACTATACATTAAGATTTAAGCAAAAAAAATTTAATTAGGCAATACATTTCTTTCAAAATTTAAGATATATAAAAGGGCACAAATGATACATGGTTTCTTCTTACATATGTTCAGTTCCCATTGACTTCAAATTCCATTTTCTTTGAGAAAGAATTAAAAATTAAAAATAATCCACAAACAGAATAATCAACCACTAGTGAACAAACAATGGGATACACACTCACATTTTAATGAGAAAATGTGTTTAGATTTTACTATACCTTATCTGAGTTAAGGGGAAAAAATTTTATAAGAACCAGTATTAAGTATTAGCTCTAAAATAGTGTTGAACAAATTCTCATCTGTTAGGCTCAAGAACTTCCTTTTAATCTGTTATTATCAAATAAACAAATACTATAAATTTCTTGGTTCACCACCATTTTAGAATTTGATTTAATTTTATGGAAGAGATTTTTCTGGGCAGGTCCTGTGGTCCCAGACCATTTTCACTCATACTTTTCTATAAATACTTTTACTTCCTATTATGTGTTTTCAAAAAAAAAAAAAAAAATCAAAATTATTTCTGAAGCCTAGATTATACATTACTTGTCCCTTAAATAAAAGAATCCTTTAAAATTGTACAAACAAGCATATATACCACTAGCAAAAGAATGAATTTTTTATTTCATATATTTTGCTCTCCCTTGTTATATTGATATATATACATAAAAAAAGCAAGCTTAGCTACACAATTGTATTTCAGACTGGGCTAACACCAAGAGTCAAAGAAGAATTAAAAATAACATGTTTTTAAAAATAGTATGTGAGACATGCTTAGGAATGGCTCTAGCCTCTCAACTCCCTCAGTATTTGCTTCATATCTCTGCAAGTAGCACAAAATTATTGTGACTTCTCTGTTTAGCACCTGACTATAAATCCCTCCATGGCAGATTCTTTCAACTCCAAATAGCACAATACTGAAATGGGGAAGGAACTCAATGAGTGTTTGAGGAATTAAAACAATGTAAATATATCAGAAGAATCCCACAATGCTCCCAAATAACAATTTCCTGGCTCTCAAAAGAATGGAAACACTTTGGTTTTAATTTTTGAACATAATAAACTGATGAGTTCACTGGCCATTTAGATGCTATCAATATTGATAGAATATTTACATGATCCATCTGTACATGAATAAATATAAAGCAAACAGAAAGTCTATTCCATAAGCCATATCAGAAGTAATTAAAGGAAGAAGCAAATGTAAATTGAAAAAAAAATAATTTTAATTGTTAATGTACAGATAAGGTATGATATTAAGATGTGTTTAGGCAAATATGGAAGGCTTCAGAATGTGAGATAGGGTCACATGAACCTGCTCTTACTTCTTACCTGTCACTGTTCACCAGGATTGTATACTGCTAAAACCATTTTTAAACTAAAATGGTAGGTAAAAAAAAAAAAAAAAAAAAAAAACTATATATTTCATCTTCATTTATCCAAGCACTCATTAAGTGCCTATTTCGTGCCAAATAAGAAGGAACTGTGGATAATACGATAAAAACATGTGCATTTTATTCTTAAAGAACTCTCTTAATAGGGAAGGATTTTACAAAAAACAACCAGAAGCAGGTTATTACTTACATATTTATGTAAGCTGGTATCTGTTCTAATAGATCCTTTTCTAATTTCCTAACCCCTTGCCAAAACTGACAGAAGTTCACATTAATAAAATGTCCCTTGAGAATTATTTTTAAAATGAATCGCTTTAGCCAAATTTTCAAGAGAAAAGCATTCTTTGGCCAAGGACTTGCATTTCACATTTTAACCTGAACTGAATGTATAATGAAAAACGAATAGTCCATTTATGGAAATGTTGACAGACTTACACCACCATGGATGCAACTACAATGCTGCATTTATTGAAAATTAATGAAGTCCTGAATTTTTATTTATAAAGTGGATATCATTAGTTTTAGATTATTTTCTGCAAGCCAATAGTCAAAATTTAATAAGATGATGTGTACAGATTGCACTGATTTTTACTCTTATCCACTGCTTGCAGACCATGTGCATTTATACCAAAAAACATTTGATATACACTAACTATAAATTATTTCCTTGGAGATCTCTCAGGCATGAAGAAAAAGCCTCTTAAAATAAATTTAAAATATTATATGCTTGATGGTGTATAACCGAAGGTTTAATCTCACTACTAAAGGGGCAGTTACCATGATTTTGCAATAACCCTGCAGACAATAATCAAGACAGCTCCTGTTGTTCTCTCAGTAAAATCTTCGTAAACACAGCATGGATATATTGTAATTTGATATCTGTAAGATCAACAGCTATATCTCATGACAACTCAAAATATAAGATTTTATTCACTATTAAATTGAGCATTTTCCTCAGAAGAAAAAGGAAATATGTTATTTACCAAACATTGTCCTGTTAACTATACATTAACACATTAATAGATATGCTTTCTTTCTCTCTAAAAAAGTGTAGTCCATAAAACAAGTTCTGAAATATAGAAAATTCTATTTTCAAACTTTCAAAAAATTTATCTGTGCCATATTTCCATCATTATTTTAAAACAATTGATCCCAATTATTTTTCTACTAGCAATATAGAAAATACTCAGAGCTCTCTGTGACCAGTTACGTTCAAATATGACTAAGTTTATACTTCATGATATTAATATTATTCTAACATTTTTTAAAATGGAGAAACACAAATGTAACAATTTCAAGAAATCAGGGAATATGTAATTCAGAAAAGGATAAAAATATACAAATTAATATCAAAGCTACCCAAAATGGAGATAACTAGAAGAACTCAATTACTGATCTCACAGTCACACACAAAACCAGTACGCACATTTTTTAAATACAAGTAGGTGACCCCAACAGTATTTCAGAAATATAATAAAATCATCTTTCACTCACCAATGCTGGATTTTCTCTTGGCAGTTAGTGACCACCTGTCATAAAAACAGATAACTATTCATGAAAAAACAGAGCTATGCAAAGAGTAACAAAAATAGTCTATCAGAAAACTAGAACAGTAGCTTTACAGATTTAATAGCATTTCAGCATACATTTTTATTTGTCAAATGCACAGAGATGTGAATGTTAGTTTTTAAGCAGTTCACTTTATCATAACCCTCTAATGCAGGCTGATAACTGCAGAACAAATTACAGCTTTCCAATTCATACTTTGGTACAAAACTCGCTTCATAACTATTAGGTGACATATGATATAAGATAACTAGTATTTTGTACAATCTACAGACCTGTTTTCACTGTTACATATTTTGTAGAATACGCAAATGTTATAAATAACTAGAAACCAATGTAACATCCACATTTCATCAGTAAAAAAAAAAAGAAAAAAAAATGACAGTAGTGAAAATATTTTATTTTGTCAGTATATCTCCAAATGTTTTCACCTGTAATTTTTATTCTGATGCATTAAAAATGAGTTCAGTGATATTTTTCACTACATTTCAAGAAGAAATACTTAGGATAAAGAGTTGCTCTGAACAGCTCATTCTTTCCCCAGTGAATTATGATAAAATTTTAAGCACTTCACAGCCAGTTTAAACTAGGTTTATAATACTAAAACCATGGAATTAAGAACAAATGTTATTTTTTTCCTTTGAGATATTGTAACAGATTCTCAAAATGCTCAAAAACAAAAACCCTAATGAGTAGAGGAAAAATATAAATTTTAAAATAGCACTATTTTTGAATCACACTTTTAAAATTAATATTATTTTTACAGATTGATAATCACCTAATTTTAAATCACCCATTAATAAAAATTTTAAATAGTAATCTAGCATACCACAGCACCATTTTAGAGACAGAGAAACTAAGGAATAAAAGCCAAAATGCTAAGGTCACATGAAAAAGACAGCAGTTATGATTTGGTTTGCAACCCACTGCTCTAGTTTAGTTCTAAATACCAATATTGGCTATGTTCAATGTTGCAACCAAAAATCACGAGATTTTTTTTTTGACTTGTCACTAAATTCCTCTATTATAACATTTAATTCCTGAAATAAATGTCCTTCTTTGGTACATTTTAAATACTAAGGCAGTAATCCTGTACCAAAATACATGCTGTAATCAGATACCCAACCATACTACACATTAACTCAGCATAAAAAGTCCGTTTTAGAATGAAGATCTCTTAGTAAGTATCAATCACATAGCAACACTTAATAACAGTGGTACTATATAATAGAGTACTGACTTTACATCTGGAAAAGCCAAGCTAAAACTACATCAATCTATTTTACTGTTTCTGATTTGGCAGTAATTATAAAATAGACAAACAGAATTAAATGTAAATTTAAAAAAGAAAAAAATCTTCAAGAAATTCATTTTATAAAGTTCCTATTTAACAGCCCCATTAAAAAATGAGACCCAAAACAGTCAGGATGTTTTCCAATACCAATGCATGTGTTTCCAAGCATGAAGTGAGCCAAAAGCACAAAAAGAAAAGCCCTGCAAACCATAAGAGCAGAATGTTCATTAACCTCTACATGATAATCCTTTCATAGCTGCATATTAACTAGTTACATATTCATAATCATTTACATTATTTAAAGGACCTTCGATGAAATTTTCTAGGCTATATCCATTAGTGACGGTGTTAAAGGTTATAGAAGATAGTCTACTTAATGTTTCCAGGAAGCCTTTTTAATTAGTAAATATGTAAATTTGGCACATATGCTTTTTATATTTAAAAACAAGTCTCTGGTAGGATGGCATGTATTCTTGCCATCACTCCCCACACACACAGTCTATTTTCCACTTTGTTCTAGCCATCCTTTCCTCTACTCCCCCGATCCCTTTTCTTTCCTAAAATAGTCTCCCTAGGAACAGATACTCAGGGTAGACCAACAAAAATCCATTTCATTAGTTTACGAGAAACTTTCACTATCAAAATATTGCTTTATATTTAAAGTATTTATTGTTGTCTTTAAAGTATTTATTGGATGTCTTTAACATCAGAGACACTGCATTAATGCAGACCACAGATGTAATATTTTAGAAATTAGAAAGAAGGGGAACAAAAAAAGACAGATACGAAAATAAATGAATAACCTTCTGATGGTGTGTCTACTATTATATTTTTATACAATTTATGGTTTACCAATTTTCAAAAAGTATTTAAACTCTACAGTTGCACTTATATTCTGAGATGATTTTAACCTGCCAAAGAAAATTTTAGGAAAAATTATATGATTCAAAGTTGAATGTACCTGGGTTTAAAAAACAAAACAAAACACCTTCTTTATCTGTGAAGTAAATTCCAATGTATCTTGCTTCTTCTGACAGAGAATTCAGAGTAACTCTTTTAATTATTAAATGAAGTGACCACAAGATAGTGATTCTGGTTCTATCAACAATTGTTGAAAAACAAAGCAAAAAACCAAAAAACATTTCATTGCTCTGTTTACTTCCACAAAACAAAGATAGCTATAAAGGAACAATACTAGTTTTGTTTTAAAGATAATTCTATCAAAATTTTCAAATATTATTCTTTTTTAAAAAAAGTTTCTGCATCATTTTTATAAAAAATAATTTGATTAATAGGCTTATACTATTAAAATAATTGACCTAGGAAATTCTTCAATATAATGATTGTAAGTCAAGAATTTGTAAATAAAATATGTACTTATGTAGTACTACAGCAATAAGTATCCATGATAAAGAAACAAAACTATGGCCCGATTCACCACTTTTTAAAATACAAACTATCATTGGAAGTACTTATCAACAATAAAGTAGCTACAAAATTATATGGTATATTTTCTTTACATCTCCAAAGTGTCCTTTTAGGATTTAGAAGAACGATGGTCTATCCCAAGACTTCAAATGATAAATATCAAGCTGCAAACATTTCAATGAGTTAGGTTTAACCTCTTTCTAAAGAGAAGAAACCTGTATTCAGAGATAAAGTAGTTTATCCAATATTATACAACTGTCCAAAAACTGGTAGGAGATGAAAATCAGTTGTAAAACCCGATCTTTAAAATCTCAAAGTCCATACCCCTTTGTATTAGACTGTTTCCAACCCTGACAAAACTTACTGAGTAAAAGAAAGGCAGTTGTTTACATCTATAATCTTTCTTAAAACATTGATTGCTGCTGCTGTTTCTCCTCCACTTCCTCCTTATACAACTAACACTCAAATATAAAGAAGACACTGTCAATAAAAGCCAATAAGCTTAAAGTCACCAGTTCACTAGTAGAAATCCTTATTTCTTCTGGCCTTTCAACCAAATAAGTAAATATACAAATACCATGTGTGCCCGAGGGGAGGAAGGGAGGGAGGGAGGGGGAATATGTGAATATATGTGTTTGGGGGCGGAGAGCTGGGAAGTAATAAGCTAACCTCATAATCACTCTGACATATAATCACAGTTTTAACAATTTGTAATAATTAAGGGAGTTAGATGCCCATAATGACCATGATGAACAATCTACCCAAACAACCTATTTTTCTGTACATCAGGGTCCAGCTATTATATTGTTACAAAGGGTTAAAATGATATTTGATAAAGGGCTGGGGTTCTGGCTCAGCAGTAGAGTACTCTTTGATCCTCAGTACCACATAAAAATAAATAAAAATAAAGGTATTGTGTCTAACTACAATTTAAATAAATAAATAAAAATTAAATTTGATAAATTGTGTCCAACTACAACTAAAATAAATAAGGATTATATTTGATAAATTGTAAGATCGATAAATTATAGAGACAACAGGAATAATAATTTTTTACTGTTTTTCCCCATAATTTGCTTTTTCAAAATTATTTTATAAAGGAATGAATGAATGTTTTAACATGCAATAAGAACTCTAGCACTTATATTTGTACTATTTATTTTGGTAAGAGACCACAAGGGGGCATCAACCTGTGAGTTAAATACAGTGCCACATAAAAACTAGACTGAAGGAGAAAGTCAAAAAAGGTAAGTATATTTCTTGATTTTTGATATTTTTCTCAAAAAACATTTCACTTCACTTCTAAAACTTTCCTTACTTTACTACAATTTCAAATTCTTCCTATATCGGTTAATCTATAATATAACAATTTGGAAAATGTACTCATCAAAGCTGTCTAAATTTATATGATTTGCTTCTCTTACTAGACTTTAGTTTCAAGAAAACCATTTCAATGTTAAAAAAAAAATTACATTCTAAATATACTGGAAAGCAAAACTGCTACCAAAAACTAAGTCCAATTACATGAGGCCACATCTTTAAGCACTTAAAGGCTATTTTAAAATTTAGCCAGGATAAAATCAAAATGATCATTTTAATCCTGATTTTTGTTTTAGCCCATTTTCTCCTCACCTAAAGCATTCTCAGAATTCTGACCTGGTCTATACAAATACTGGACTATGTCTAAAGTGCTTTGGTACTGTACATTTCATTCCTTTGTAGATTTTACCTACAAATTAGTTTGGTTTTTTTTTTTTTTTTTGAGTATTTATTACTACTAATCCCAAGTGTCCTAATTACATACAGTTTTCTCCTACTAGAAATGTTTGAGATGAGTAACAATTACAATCAGTGTTAGATAACTGAAAAGTCTGGGATTATTTAAATTAGGTATCAGGAACTTCTAACTGTACTGATTAAAAGCTCTATGAGGTAGAGGCCATGTCTACTTTATTCAACAATATTCACCTAACATATAAGCACATGGTCCCTTTAAAGAAGGACAGCTCTATACTCACAAAACCACAAGTCTGAGGAAATGTTTTTCTCAGTTTATAAAATAATGCACACAAACTAACAAACCATCTGAAACAGATGCACCGATTCTTCCTAACTTTTCTTTCAGTACTTCCTTCTAAGCATTTCTATGGTTTACAATTAACAAACACTAAGAAAACTTTAAGCTTCTCACACAGATTAGGACAAAAATATGCCTGTGGAACATTCAAAGTAAACAAGTAA